GGCTATTTTAGAGGTGGAGAATGTGGGTCATCACTTGTTTTCTTACTCATTCTGTGCTTCTGAGGCCTTGAAAACCTCATTTGGGGTTGCCTCGATATGCGTGCGCAGTCCGAGCACGTAGCCGGAAAGCTTAAATATGAATTCTGTGAGAAAAATGCTAAATTTTGATATTAAATTGGATAAATTTGACTTCGGTCAATATTTTGGGTAAACGGACCCGAACCCGTGATTTGACGGTCCCGGAGGGTCCGTAGGAAAATATGGGACTTGGGCGTATGCCCGGAATCGAATTCCGAGGTCCCAAGCCCGAGAAATGAATTTTTGTGTGAAATTGTTTTCTGGAATGATTAAGGAAAATGAAAATGAAATTTGATTAAAAGACTATGGTATCGGGCTCGTATTTTGGTTCCGGCGCCCGGTACAAGTCTTATATATGGTTTAAGCGCTTTCTGTAAAGTTTGGTTGAAATCGGACGTCGTTTGACGTATTTCGGATTTAAAACTCTAAATTTGAAAGTTTATGAAGTTTGAAGAAAAACTAGTGATTTTGAGGTTTGATTCATTGTTTATGATGTTATTTTTGCGATTTGATCGCACGGATAAGTCCATAGGATGTTTTTGAGGTTGTGCGCATATTTGGTTTGGAGCCCCGAGGGCTCGGGTGAGTTTTGGATAGGTGTCGGATTGCATTTTTGCATTTTTGAAAAATCTGGTGCTTTCAGTTCTGCAACTTTCGCATTTGCGAAGCAGGTCTCGCAAATGCGAGCCTGGCATCGCAAATGCGAGAAGAGGGAGTCAGCAGCTGGGGTCGCAAATGCGAAGTCGAGCAGGTCGCAAATGCGAACCTCCCCTTTTTCCACTTAAGGTCGCAAATGCGAGATATAGTTCGCAAATGCGAAATCTGGGGGAATTCTGCTTTGCGAACCCAAGTTCGCATTTCCCACATCTGCAACCTGCATATTTTACACTTAGCCGAAATTTTGAGTCATTTTAACATTCTTTCAAAACACAAACCTCTTTGGGCGATTTTTCAAGAACAAGACTTCTTCCAAATCATTTGTAAGTTGGTTTTTACTCATTTCTTTCAATCTTTAACATCATTTAACATGTTTTCAACTTAAAATCAAAGATTTTCATGGGTGAAATTGGGGGTTTTGGGTAGAACCTAGGTTTTCTAAAAATTGTGGATTTGGGCCTCAATTTGAGGTCCAATTTTAAAACAAATTGAGTTCGTGGGGGAATGGATAACCAGGTTTTGGTTCGAACCTCGGGTTTTGACCACGTGGGCCCGGGGGCAATTTTGGAATTTTTGGGAAAAACTTTGGGAAATTCATTTTTATGCATTCAAATTGATTCATTTAGCGTTTATTAAAGCAATTAAGTAATTTGTGGTTAGATTCGAGCGGATTGGAGGTGGAATCACGGGGTAAAGCCATAGTGGAGGCTTGAGTTGAGTTCAAGGCATCGAGGTAAGTGTTTGGTTTAAACCTAGCTTGAGGGAATAAGAGTTGAGTCTTAATTGTAACTTGTTAATTGTCGAGTACGATGTATAGGCATGCTGACAAGTATCTATACATTGGAGTCTAGCATGACCATGAGTCCTTATTTTGCGAATAGTTTGGTTGTTGTTATGCCTTCCATGCTTAATTGATGACTTCTATATGTTGTAAAGATCTTGTGAAAGAAGTTGTGATCTTTGAACTTCGTGGAGCATTGGCTCGGGTTGAAATATAAATTGTGAAGGTATATGCGATAAGTAACTCTTTGGAGCATTGGCTCAAGCGATAATGTGAACTATGAAATGAAAGTGAAAGTAAGTGAAGAGTTAATGATTTATTCCCTTGCCGGGACGTTGTTGGTTATTGATGTTGTACCCTTGCCGGGTTTTTAATTGTTTGTTTGTATACCCTTGTCGGGATGTTCATTATTATTTTATTATTCCCTTGCCCTTGTTTGTGATTGTTGATTGGGTGAGGAAGAGTGTTAAAGCACGAAGGGTGATGCCGTGGATTGTTTGTTTCTCGTGAGGAAATAGTGTATAGCACGAAGGGTGATGCCGTGCATTATTTGTTTATTGTGAGGAAAAGAGAGTAAAGCACGAAGGGTGATGCCGTGCCGCATGATGTGCCATTCCGTGCCTATTCTATTGATTATATGTGAGGAATGAGAGTAAAAGCACGAAGGGTGATGCCGTGCATGTTTGTTTATATTATTGCTTGGTGAGGATGAGAGTAAAAGCACGAAGGGTGATGCCGTGCACTTGTTGATCTCCGTTCCTTATTGTTGTATGTGTTGTGCCTTTCCTTGGTATTAGTCAATTTATACTTGAAACTGTTATCTCCCCACAGCATGCTTCCCCTCCCATATTGTTTTACTTGTCTTGTATTTCGATTCTGCTGTATATATATAATTGCACAGGTTTATGTGGTAGTNCGTCCGCAGGCCCGGCATCTCCTCTATCCTTTATTTTTATCTGTTATCTCATTGTATTCGAGACAAACAGCTTATGTTCTCTTTCAGACGTTGTATGTAGTATTCTTAGCAGTTCGTGAGTACAGTGACACCAGTCTTGGGTAGAGGATTTTGTTGAACTTTCCGCATTCTAGTCAATTGTTATAAAATGTCAAGACTTTCGCTTATTATTGAATTTCGTTGCTTGTATTATTGTCGTAAATTGTTAAAATGGATTAGATTATTAATGGTCAAGTAAATAAATTTGGCTTGCCTAGATCTCATTAGTAGGCGCCATCACGACTCCCGAGGGAGGAAAATCCGGGTCGTGACAATTTATTATTTTTATATTTTAAAACTTGCTCTAATTTACTCTTAGTAGCTAGGATGATTTGATTCCATATTAACCTTTTATTGCCTTATCTAACAATGTATATCACGATATACAACATGATACACACACGAGCACACGTGATGATATATATATACACCACCTCAAACACACATATTTCTTTTTAAACAATTAAAAAAAGAATAGGGAAGAAGAAGAAGAAGAAAACTGGAGTCTGCCAAGGAAATACAAATCAAATTGAACAGAGCATCAATCGGATGAAGACAAGAAGAAAACTAGACATAAAGCAAATCTTTTTATAGAATCGCCGTCTTGATGAGAAAATCTTAAGTTCATAGAAAAATGAATTCAACCATTACAACTTCCCAAACATTATCAAAGGACACATGCCTTTCCAAATCCATATTGAAGATGAAAATTTGCTAGATTGAAGAAGGAAAAAAAGATTGAAGAAGAAAATTGGAGATGAAATACGTGGAGAGAGATTAAACAAGAAACTGGGTTATTTAGGTTTTGATTATATAATACCAATTTTTTTGAGTTACTTTTGTCAAACCTAATATTGCCAATTCTCTTTATGTGTTGTCATACCATGTCATTACAAGTGTAGAAATGACACCAAGTCGCCACTCTAAATGGTTGTTATTTCGGAATTAGCTAGTGCGTCCTGAATTTCAGTTTTTCAGGACAAAAATATCTTGAGTTGTCCTGAAGTTAGGATTTTTAATTTAAAATTTTAGGACAAAATAAATAGTGGCTAATCTCTAAATAGCATCTATGCACTTGCCCCTTTACAAGCTCACCATGTTCTCTACGATTCCTACAGGGTCGTATATTGTACTCTAGTTTGTGCAGATTGCGTAGGGATGGCAACGGGGCGGGTGCGGGGCGGGTTTGGCAAAACCCACAAAAATTTAAACATGCTCCGCATAACTATTTTTTCTGTTTTCAACCCGCCCCGCTTTAATTTTTTAAAAATTATTTTAACCCACCCCGTCCCGCACCCGCATAAGAGTAAACCCGCCCAGCCCCACATCAAAAAAAATTCGCCCTGCCCCGCACCCGCCCCGTTACCATCCCTAGGATTGGGTCTGAGCCCAAACCGTTAGTTGGGCCTTGCAGGGATAGACTTCGAAAATGACAGAAATGTTGGGTGGATCTTTTTTGAACCATTGCTATATTTTGACCCGTTAAGAATAATTACGGGAAAATAACGTAAAAATAGCACGGTATAGCCAGTTTTCGGACTGGTCAATCAAAAATAGCCAGTGTTTACCAAGTCAATGAAAAATAGCCACCGTTTTGCTGCAATAGAGATCGGTCCAGCATAATATACTGGAGTTCGGTGCACTTGTGTATGAACTCCAGCATATTATGCTGGACCGATATACTTTGCTGGCTCCAGTATAATATACTGGAGACTGGAGCACTGGTGCTCCAAACTCCAGTATATTATACTGGACCAATATACTTGCTGGAACTCCAGTATATTATGCTAGAGTTTTAGTGTATTTATGCTGGAACTCCATCATATTATGCTGGAGTTCCAGCATACTATCCTGGAACTCCAGTATAATATGCTGGAGTTCAAGTATCTTATGCTGGAACTCCAGCATAATATACTGGAGTATTTTCCGAGTTTTGAACAGTGTTTTCGCTCAGATTTATATTTACATAAAAAATGACTAAATTTCGATTACTTTTGCTCAACATGCTTTAAAATTCTAGCCAACGGGGAAAATCTTATTTAGCGTGTGTTCAAAATTCTGACATGGGCCTTTTCTCTCAAAACTTTTGTTATTGGGATAAAAAAAATTAATAATGGCACAAAAGTATTCTATTTTTGTGATTTTCCCAAATATATGAAGAATTAAAAAGAGGCTATATAAGAGTCATGACTCATAATCATTAGTAGCATTCAACAATTGCAACAATAAGAGTAGAAGCATAGTTATCACATGTTTGTCGTCAGAAGTTATGAATCTTGAAAGAAACTAAGCTTTTCTTTCAATCCAAAGCCAAAAAGCACCATGCTTTAAGTCTCAACGTGCACTGAATTTCCTACTACTACTCCATTTTCTAGTCTAGTAAGTATATATACAATTAATATAACACAAACATACTTTGCTTCAAAGCAAACTTACCAAGAATTCTAACACTATATAAACCTCACCTCTCCCCTTCTATTCTTCATTCATCCTATTAAATCCTACTGCTACTAATCCAATAGAAATGGCTGTTTTCTCTATTTCCAAGTTGTCACTTCTAATCTTTTTCTCTATCTCCCTCCTGGCCTGCACCTCATTCGCTCGCGATCATTCGATCGTGGGATACTCTTCAGATGACTTGACTTGCATTGATAAGCTCATTAATCTTTTTGAGCATTGGATGGATAAACATGGCAAGATTTATAAGAGCATTGAAGAGAAGTTGCATAGGTTTGAGATTTTCAAGGATAATTTGAAGCATATTGATGAGACGAATAAGATAGTTAGTAACTATTGGCTTGGTCTAAATGAGTTTGCTGATTTGAGTCATGATGAGTTCAAGAAAATGTATTTAGGACTCAAAGTTGATAATGAATTGCTTAACAAAAGAGAAAAATCTCAGCAAGAATTTGCATACAGAGATTTTGTGGATTTGCCAAAGTCTGTTGATTGGAGAAAGAAAGGTGCTGTCACTCCTGTTAAGAACCAGGGTCAATGTGGTACGTACACTACCTAGCTATTTTGATCATTTAGACCAAATAATTAGCATGTATACAATAAGGATTTAATTTATATACATGAAAAGTATACAAAATATAACATTTTACACCACCAAGAACCAAGATTCATGTGGTACGTTGCCTATTTTGATCATATAGATCAAACAGTCAACACGTATTCAATAAGGATTTGATTTATATATAACATGTTACACCACAAGAACCAAGATTCATGTATTCAATAAGGATTTGATTTATATATAACATGTTACACCACAAGAACCAAGATTCATGTGGTATATTACCTGTTTTGATCATATAGATCAAACAGTCGGTACGTATTCAATAAGGATTTAATTTATATATACTGACTGTCGTGCAGGTAGTTGTTGGGCATTCTCAACAGTAGCGGCAGTAGAGGGAATTAACCAAATAAAGACAGGGAATTTGACATCGTTGTCGGAACAAGAGCTCATAGACTGTGACACAACATACAACAATGGTTGCAATGGAGGCCTAATGGATTATGCTTTTCAATTCATCATCTCTAATGGAGGTCTTCATAAAGAAGATGATTATCCTTACCTTATGGAAGAAGGAACTTGTGATGAAAAAAGAGTAAGTCCACATTAATTAATTAAATACCAAATCATAGAATGTTAAGAGTATTTCTTAATGCTAATTATTGGTATTAATTAATGTAATATTTCAGGATGAATCTGAGGTGGTGACAATTGATGGATATCATGATGTACCAGCCAATGATGAACAAAGTCTATTGAAAGCACTTGCAAACCAACCTTTAAGTGTGGCTATTGATGCTTCTGGCAGAGATTTCCAATTCTACAGTGGGGTAAAAACTCTTTTAAACAAAACTCTTAGGATTATTATTATTATTAATGGATTTAACTTATATAAATCGGAAATATAGTCCAGTGCCGCGAAGGCGACAATGTCTTAAGATCTCCGCGGAGGGGCATTTTTATATTGTCAATATATAGCTGCTTTGTTATATACCATTTTTAACAAGTCAATAATTAATATCTATTACAGGATTAACTTATAATAATCTTATTACTTGATTGTACAACTATTCTTTACACTATCTTTGGATTAAGATAAACTCATTCTTAATTAAATAACATTGCATAAGAAATTCGATTTTCTTATTACAGTTACGTTAGACTTTTTTAATAACGACCATTCTCTATAACAACACTTCATTGTAACGGTCAAGTTTTCTTTGGAATTGATTTTCCATGTTATTGTATATTATATGTTCTCTATAACAACATTTCGCTATAATAACAGAACAAATAAGACTGTTATAGAAAGGTTTGACTGTATTTCTTATTTTTTAATTATATAGTACTGATGAGTGACTATTATTGAAACGTGGTAGGGTGTATTTGATGGGCATTGTGGAACAGAGTTAGATCATGGGGTTGCAGCAATTGGATATGGAACCACAAAAGGAGCAGATTATATCATTGTTAAGAATTCTTGGGGACCAAAATGGGGAGAGAAAGGTTTCATTAGAATGAAGAGAAATACAGGCAAAGCTGAAGGCAAATGTGGCATTAACAAGATGGTTTCTTTCCCAGTCAAAAAGAAGTGAAATTTCCACCTTCCAATTTCCAAATGTATTTTCTAAATGTTTTATTTCTGATTGAAGTATGTTGTTATCTTTTGATTAATCCAGTAATAATATACTAAAACATTCTATGTACGATGTAACGTTTTTATTGAATTAATATTGGTTGTTCTTGTTTCTTTATGATTTAACTGTACCTCCTACGACTTTGGAAAATTTTATTTTGTGTCTCATACAACTGACACTAGTTGTATGAGGCAACCTTTTTGTCTCACAGTTTTGTGGACCCAGAAGTGTAAGATTGGGGTCCACAAATTTGNAAAAAAAAAAGGAAAGATTATCCAGTGCTCTTAAAAAGACAAGATGGGATTTGTTTGTGTTCTGAAAATTGACAATCCTTACAAAATAACCTGGTTAGTCAGTTGTATGGTCCTAATGATAGTTTACGAACTTCAACCTTTGAAGAGCTAAAAGGAAATCTGGAAATTGTAAGAACCTTCTCTGTTTTACCTAGAATTGCTGCAGTATGTTTGGTGGCGTTTTGCTGAAGAGCATTATTATTTTTATGATTACTTGCATTAATCGAGATCACTTAAAAACATTTAGATCATGGAATAAGCATGCACTTGATATTTGAATTCCTAATTTTGTGCAACTTAAGTTGTCTCCATTACTGAGTCCATTTTGTTAATTCATTTTTTGCTCTTTTTGTCTTTTTTCCGTTCAGCTGACTGTTTCAAATAAGGGAAGTGCTTGTGACTTGGGAAGCTCAAATTCTAAGGTTCGCAATTTTCACTTTAGGGTCAAGGAAAATAACGTAGACTACTTCTACCCGGGAACTCAGACTTGAAGAGATGTTCTGTTCATTGAATTTGAATGTTGGCCAACATATCAAGACCGGGGGATTAAGTAATTGATGTCCTAAAGCACTGGCCGAAAATCTAAGGTGATTTAAACCTTCTTTCATCTTTTTGCCGATTGGTTAGCATATGCTAAAGTAAATTATCCACCAGCTATGGAAGACCAAGAAGCGAGGAGCAAACTATATTTATCGGTGATCGATGGCAATTGGCAAAGCCTCCTGTCGTGGTTATCTTGCTAGAAAGACATTTAAAACTTAGTAGAAAACAAATTTTACCTTGCAGTTTTGCCCTTCTTGTCCTTGTATGCTGATGCCCCCATTCAAGTTTAGAGAGTTACTCCTGAGGTTTATTGATATAGGAATTCAGTTGCTTTCTGTTATGTTGAACTGCCTCTTTTCTTACTTCACTAGTTGGAGTAGCCAGTTATGTTGATAATTTAAAATTAATTGAAACCCCATGATTTTATTATATAGTCATATATCTCGATTTGTTTACTGAGAAAGTTCTTTAATTGGCAGCGTTTAGTGGTTTGACGTACATTCAAGTATAGATTTATATGACAATTGAAGAAGAAAGTAATGCAAGCAATGGAGAGGCTGTCCCCAATCTTATCAGCAGAACATTTGATTGAGAAAAAAACTAACATTATTTGAGAAAGAAAAAGTCACATAACTATCACAGACCCCAAGGCTAAGATCTTTAAGAAATTCACAGTTAGTTCTCATCAACAGCTATAATTCCCATATTTCCAATCTATCATTTGCAAGTCCTTTATATTGTTGAACCGAAAATCTTGATTTTTTCCTTTGTTCTAAAATTACAGACAATTCTAAAAAAATATTAGTAGAAAGTGTAAACTGATCGATTCACGGAAAATTTTATTTTGTGTCTCATACAACTGACACTAGTTGTATGAGGCAACCTTTTTGTCTCACAGTTTTGTGGACCCAGAAGTGTAAGATTGGGGTCCACAAATTTGTGAGACAAAAAGGAGCCTCATACAACTAGTGTCAGTTGTAAGAGACACAAAATAAAACTTCTCTACGACTTTATTGTTACATATTTCTGTCGCTCCTGGAAAAAATCAGATAATTGGCTTGTACGGAAAGGAATTTCCAATGAGAAAAGGACAAAGGAAAATGTATAGAAAATTAAAAGATTAAAATATAAGCAAAAACGAGCTGAATTAAGTCAAAATTAAGATGCCAAATATTGAAAGTTGTCCCTTCTTGGAAAATGATATATGGCCTGCAACTTTGTACACCAACTTCCAACTTAAAATAACTACAGCTCCCTCCGTCTCATATTAATAGTCATGGTTACTAAAAATAATTGTCTCAAATTATTTGTAATATTTGAAGTTCAAGACAAAATTAATTTTTTTTTTCCTTTTTTACCCTCAGTAATAATTGTTCTTGAAGATGGAAATAATACATAAATAGAATAAATATTCAATAAAGAGAAATTTTATCTTAAGACATAAATAGATGTATAATAGTCTAATCTCTTTCCTAATTAATATTTCTTAAGGGACATGTAAAAGAAAAACACGACAGATAATATGAGACGGAGGGAGTAGAACTTTCACATAATTAACCAGTACAAAGTTGGTCTCAAAATCAACCTTCATTCCCTATACATATATGGTGCTGAAGTACACTCACCTCAAGTCTATGCACTAATATGTACATATGTGAAAACTCAAAGTAGAAAACAAGGCAACAATTTAACTTAACAAACCAAGATTAGGAGAAATAATTAATCTTTACACAGTACCAGCACTAGATTCTCTTAGATGATATTATTTTTTTTTTAACCGTAGTTTCCGGGCATCACTTTACGAACCCGACTAGCTGTACCCACCGGGACCCGCTGTTTCAATGCGTGCACCACGGTTAGTTCCACGGGACCTTGGAGACGCGGCCGGTTTGTAATGCCTCCAGTGACCCTGCGGGGGCTCGAACTGGCGACCTGAAGGACTTTGTCCTCAGGCCTTTACCAGTTGAGCTACCCCTCAGGGTTTCTTTGATGATATTCACTAATAATATTCTCATTTTCCTCGAGTGATTTTCCCGTTGTCTCTGGGGTAAAAAAATATGTAATAATCATTCCCACTAAACAAACACCAGCTAGAAGTATTAACGAGGCTGTCATTCCAATCCCTTTAGTATAACCATCTTCTTTTTTATTATGAGAAGCCCATAAAAAACCTACAGATCCAATAATTGCACCAATTTTTCCTATAGCTCCAGAAATGCCATGACATGTTGTTCTGAAACGAGCAGGAAAAAGTTCCGCGGGTACTATAAAAGTAGTTGTATTTGGACCAAAATTAGAGAAAAAAAATGTTAGGCCATATAAAAACATGAACCATCCATTGGTGTTATTATTCCAATATGAATAATATGGAATTCCCATTGCTAATAAACTTATTGCCATGAAGAAAAATCCCATCATTTGGATTTTAACTCTCCCAAATCGATCGATAAAATACATAGTAGCAAAATATCCTGGAATTGTTGAACAAATTGCTATAATAGCTTGAAGTCTTGCAACTTCAAAAGCTTCTTGAAAAGCATTTACCTCTTGTTTTTTACTTAGGTAGCGTTTGTATATTTGGGATTGAAAGAGATTGCTGCTGTAGAAAACAATATCGACTAGAAACCAAGAAATGGAACAAGCAAAGAGATTACGGCCATGGCTATGAATGAATGTTTTGGAGAAAAAGGAATAAGAGGGTGGTGAATTTCTTGGATAAACACAAAATTCCTCAGCAATCTGACTTGCTGAAATATCAAGTACTTTTTCCATGTCCTTGGCTGCTTGTGGTACATTTCTTTCAATCAAAGCCGTATACCTACCAAAAATTACGTGCCAAGTTTAGTTTCTACGACAATTCAAAAGACAAATATATTTCGAAAATGGGGTTCTCGGAAAAGAGGTAAAGTTGTTGCCATGTGATCAGGAGAGATCACGGGTTCGAATCGTGGAAACAGCCTCATGCAGAAATGCAGGGTAAAGCTGCATACAATAGACCCTTGTGGTCCGGCCCTTAATTCCCCAGGGATCTCGGAAAAGAAGAGGAGCCTTGGCGTAACTGAGAAAGTTGCTGCCATGTGACCTGCAGGAGGCCATGGGTTCGAACGGTGGAAACAACCTCTTGCAGAAATACAAGGTAAGGTTGTGTACAATAGACTCTTATCGTGCGGCCCTTCCCAGGGACCTCGAAAAAATACAATATGACCAAATATATCTGACAAGACGATTTGAAACCAGTAATTACCTGGCAGTCTCAGGCATCATCATGCGCCAGTAATAAGTAAACCCTGCTGGAACAGCGCCAATCATTAGTATAATTCTCCAAGCTAAATCTGCACTGTGAGGTGTACTCTCACTTCCTCCTGAAGTAGCACGATCAAAAATAGAACAAACAATCATTGTGACAGTAGAACTAGCAAGTATTCCAAATCCCTGCATTGAGAAAACTCCAGCAATAAACGCACCCCTTGTCCTCTTATTAGCAAATTCAGACATAATTGTCGCTGATAGAGGATAATCTCCACCTATCCCAATCCCTAACAAGAACCTAAAAAAACCAAGACTGAATAAAACACATGTCCTGGACGTGCATATAGAGTGTCCACATCCAAAAGAGCTCAAGACCATGATCATAAGAGCAAAGCCATAGACTTTGCGTCGGCCGATTAGGTCACCTAGTCGGCCGAAAACTAGTTGACCGATAACCGTGCCCAAAAGGGCTGTCACAACCATAGCGGATGTGACGGCCTGTGGCACTTGACCAGGATCCTTAGATGATCCATAGTAGATTCGACCGATGAGTTTCATGATCGGAGGGATACAAAAGAGGTCGTATGCATCAGTGAATAAGCCCATACCAGCGATGATAATCGCTTTGAAGTGATAGTATTGTGTTTTAGCTGAGTCAAGGGCAGTAAGGACTTTGAGTGCCATTTTCTTGGTTTAAGGAGAGAAATAAATGCACACAGAATGATATTCTTGTTTAAGTTGGATATATATATGTAGTAGACATTGATGGAGTACTCTAAAATTATTGTTTAAGAAAATAGATGATTGAAACATTTTAGGAGATGTAAAGCAATTTCGTGGAAGAAGACAAGCGAAGACTTTGGAGTAGGAGATACTAGAGAAATGTGTGGTTTGCTAATGATACCTGTTGAAGATGCGAATAATTGTGAACTTTGATTATATCATCGTATTAACAAAGTCTATATTATATCACGTTTGGTTTTATTGGATGAACATAAGTATAGTACTAATTAAATGACTTATCAAGAGGAGGGAAAACATTTTTCAAAACTCCTTCTCAACATTCTCCACCCTCACCAACCCACCCCCCTCTCCAAAAAACGCCCTTTTTTTTTTTAACTTTTTACAATTTTACTTGTTACCTACCCACCCTACTACCTCTCTACCCACCCCCATTCCCTCCCGCCGAAAACGTAAAACTTTTTTTAACCTTTTACTTTCTTTTGTTGTCAATTTACTAACTTTACT